CTAGAGTATTTTTAATCGCTTTCGACCTTTACATTTTTAATCTCTTCTCTCTTTTTTTACTTATTATTTCTCTTCATAGAAGAATCGTGTAGTTTGTCTCGTTAGACGTCGAGTGCCGAATTCAGAAATTGTTCAAAGTTTAGTTGCGGACAAATAATGGCCGATTATTTTTTTCGCCAACTTATTAATTATATTGTACGATACCGAATTTGAAATATGAATGTGTCTGATGATTTGTAATCAACTTTATAAGTAAGTGTAATCGCGTACCGTTACGTTACGAAACTTACTATGATTATGATATGCTACGATTGCGACGCGCTATAAGAGAGAAAATAAATAGATTCCATAGCACTTGTTTGTAATTGTAATTAATACATTGACTGCCACCGCGACGTCTCCTCTTCGATACGTTTTTCCCGTATCGAGTTTATGTGTAAACGCGCGAGACACAACAACAATTCCTTTGAGCCGGCAAACGTCGATTTCGCGTCGAGATTTGCCGTTTATTTTGTTGCTCGTTACACGAGCCGCAATATAATCGAGTGTACTATATAATATAATATAATATAACAATAATCGTTGGTTCCTTTGTAACAAAAAAAATAACATATTAATACTGTTCCACAAGGGCGGTCAACGTATTAAGAATGATTATGATAACTCGATAAACTTTGCTATTACGAGAAACTTTTATATCTCAATATGGAAAGGTAAAATGGAAATTCGTACGAAACGCAGTGTGTATCGCTCAGTACAAAATACCAATTTTATATCATCAAAATTTCATTGTTTTATATATAGGATCTATTTATTGTATTGTTTTATAATTATCACACGTTTCTTGGGATAACGATTTTCGATGATCCGGGGTTCTTTCCAAAAAAAGAAGAAGACAAAATTATCTTACCTCTCCATAGCGAGACTCCTACGCAACTTGTTAAAACCTGTGAATCTTATAATGCGAATTAGTTGTATCATTTACCAGCATAATACTGTATGTACTTGTTCCAATAACAATATGCACTTTTATTTTTATTATAAAGTATAAATGGAAAAAGTGTACCTTTTTATATTACTGTTAAGGCGCCTTACATGAATAAAATTTTTAGAAAACGAGATTCAACGCTGCCTCTTACGATTCTCAACTGTTATCAACAAACTTGCTGAGTAGCCTTGGTTTTCATCATTAATCTCTATTTTTATTTTCAATCAATTAACCGATCACCTTATGTACACTTCTTTTTATTTTACAATACGTGTTAAACAATGTTTTCAACATGTCCATTTTTACGATACAAGATATATAACAAATTTATATATAATATACAAGAGATGCATATACATACATATATCTTTTGTCTTGATTGAAAAAAATAGAACTAGAAATCTTTCTCTTTGAACGACGAATCGATAGCACGCAAAATGTTTGTACGAAAATAATACGTACATCTGTAAAAGGGATTATAACGATTTTCAATTTGCCAAATTTTACTACGCGCCACTCTACGCTCGTCGCTCCAGTTTCTCAACAATATGTATAATAATATACATATATATACATATATAGAGCAAGAAATAATTACTTTTATATATTGCATTAAAATATTAAAAAGTTCTTGTTATGTACAAATTGTCTATAAAAATCGTTCATGATTACAAACCCATGTATTGAGGGGAAGAAGAGAATGTGTTTCTCGTTGAGTGTGTGTTACTTTTACTCCTCGAATCCTCGGTATTAGGGTTATCGCTAGAAACAATTTGTATAGTTCTATATCTGCCTCTCTCAAATGAACCGTTAAAACAGGTATTAGAATAATTACGAGGTGGAATTTACCCGAAGAAAGGCATTAAAGAAATAAGCGTTTGTCTGTTTGGTCGGGACGTAAACGCTGGAGAACATTGCGCCAATCTACCAACGACTCGTCTCAACCACTGCTGCAACTTTTGCCGTCGTTCCTCGACGAACTTGGCGTCCTAAATAAGACGCATTTCGATAGTTCGATGCAAGTTAAATAGTTCTTTTATACTGCACAAATACCTTATTTCCTATTGTCTTCTTCGGTGGAAATTCGAAAGTGGTGACGATCGAGTCGTACTTTTTTAACTCCCTGTAGAACGCGTGAAACTGTGCGTATCGTCTGTATATATTCCACTCGGTATCTCTGATACGCACGTATATCTGTAACGAGTTGAATTGGTAATTATTTTTGCTACAACAATTGTAATTGACATGCTTATATTTGTAAAGCGCGCCCAGAAGTTTCACCCAAACTAAAGCAGATTACTAAAAAAAAGAAAACTTCTTTACGCGCTCGATCATTTTCAAACATACCTGATAAACGTGATGAATATCGGAGGGCTGGCCTGTGAGAAACGCGGATGGGATCCATATGTGTATGAGACATGGCGGTTCAGACGGTAAATCGTCCTCGTTCAAAGGACCGCGAAGACATTCTAACTCAGCTTGCAGCAACTTAACTAATCTGTCCCTATGATCATTCAGAACATGAGAAAATGTGTTACGTTGCAATGATTTCAGACGACATCAATACTCGCACTACCTGTCGTTCAACTGTAAAGTTAATCTAGCATTGAACTCCATTAGTTCCGCGTGCATATCCGCGACTTGAATCAATTTTTCTTCGTACTGTCGAGCTTCGTAATGATAATCTAACGACGGATCCTCCTCCTCCTCGGAAACCGTAGTAGAATCGGATTCTCTCCTTAACATTTGTACTGCCGTCACGTATTTACGCAACTGTTGCCTCAACAGTTCATTCTCCCTGCAAAAATGAGCAGCAAAACTTATTCGTGAACATTTCAGTACACAACAGAGATTCATTCGAATTTCACCTGTTTAATGCCTGTATTTGCAACTCGTGCCTCTCGAGATAATTCTGATGTTGTCTTTGCAAACGAGCAAGTTGCATTCTGCTAGTCATAGCATCCTCTTTAGCTTGCTCTAACACTTCAGTCACAGCTAAGAATCTTACTCGTAATGCCTCGATATCTAAATCATCCGGATCCGTATTATTATATAAATCTGCAAGGGGCTCCGTAGCTTCCAGCGCGGGTTCAGCGACCTCGGACGTATCCTAAGTTAAAAGCAGTAGGAATATATACGAAATTCTTGCTCGGTAAATTAGTAAATTCTCGTACACCTACATCTAAATAATTTGGTAACGCGATCAACATGTCGTCCAACGTTTGATCTAAAGGCGAAACAGGAACCAGTCCGACCATATTTTCGGAATTCGTAACGGGGGTTAATACTTTTTCCTCCTCGAAAGTCTCACTGCAAAATTCATCGTTGAAACTATTACTTTTAAACAGATCATAATTACATGCAAATGAATGATAATGCTTACTTTTCCCACTCGGAAGTGACTTTATCTACCGCGACATTAGCGTCATTCGACTCTGTATGAGATTGTGTAATCGACGGGGTGGGTGACGTCTTCATCGACATTACTGTGGGAGAATCGGGACAAATCGAAGGTAAAAGTGAAGTAGGTCCTTTATCTTCGGTTGTACTCGTTGCTGGGACAGGGATATTGAGACAACTAGGAGGAGCGCTAACTGAAGTTTTCGCATTTCCTTCTTTATCCTCCTCGCTATCATTGTCAAACGAAATTATATGCGTTGGCACTTTCCTCCTTTGTTTTTGTTTCGGAGTAGGTCCTGGTCGTCGTATTAAAATAGTACAATAAGCAAAATAGTACAATTTTTATGTACATATAATCCTATGAGAAGATTACCTGGTATCGTGGAAGATATAATTGGTTCTGACAAGGAAACCTTTCGCTTCTCTATTTCCTTGCTTTTTAAATTATTATCCAATTCCTCGTTGTCTATCCTAATCGCAAATAAAATGCTACCAAGTCCTAGTACAGTCAAAACGATATTCAGTTAAGAAACTGTATAGAAGACCGAGGCAATGAGAGACTAGAAGGTTGATTTATACCTGCTGCTACATTTGGCAGTACGGCACTCTTCTCTTGATCAAGTAAAAACGCCCAATCCTCGTAAAATGGAGACAGTACGGAAGGATCGAGTATAGCATGTAAATGACGTTCTAAAGATCGCTCGTTTAAAACGGCTCGGAGCCACGCTCTGCCTTTTCCGTGATCCGTGTGAACTTTCTTCAACACACTAAAACGTTCTTGTTCATGCCACGTTAATTGTTCTTTTATACACGGCCAAAACGCAGCATCCGACACGCTGCCTGATTTTATGCTACTACCAGATACTATGTCTGAAACGTGCCTTTAAACATAGAACCGACTAATTAATGATGCAGAATGTATCTCCAGTTATTAGTCATCTCGTAACGTTATCATTTATCAATGCAGTTGCATTCCAAAGGATAAGTAAACAAGAGAGTCATATCATCCTACAGATCACATATCAGCTTTATCTCAAGAGAATGAAAAACAAATAGACAGTTATTAGTTCTCAGATACATACATTGAATGAAATCTTGTCCTTTTACCTTAAAGCTAAATTAATTTTATCAATGCAGTTTGTACGCAATCCATGGCTGAAGATCGATTCAAATATATGGCACAGTTGTCTGACACATATATCTGACTCAGTAGCCAGCTCGGTACGCCCACAGAATCTGATGTGACACTTTTTAGCAGCAGCTAATAAATCTTCCAACAGCTTTCGCCGTTCTGTGGGATGATCATAGTTCTGATTAGGATCTAATGCATTATGCGCGCTTGGCACTATTGCTGACATCATACGTAAAGCCTGAAACATGCAATTATTTATTAAACATTTAATCATTCTGAAAAAACTGAGAATTATATAATTTCTCCGAATGCGTGCAATATGATTAAGGTTTACAGATTTTTGCTTGCATCGGACGCAAATCACGTCATTTCGGATTAACGATTGATTAATTATTTGACACTTGATTCTTTTTATTCATACGTTATATGTACCGTTTAAAAAGTACGTGTCACTCATTTAATGCGCAATTTCGTTATAGTTCGTGAAACAAAGTTACATTGAAGCTTACATATTTAGAATATTATTCGTATAACGCTTAAGTTTATGTTAATCAAGAGACTGAATCGCGTATAACAACGAATTTCTACAACTAATTTGTACGAGAAGAGATGACAGTGCATTAATTATTGAAACTTCTGTTCTTCGTGAAAGGTAAATTGTAATACAACGTACCATGAGTCAGCGACGATCACGTTAATTTCCTTTCAAATTGTGGTTGTCGTCATTAAAAAAATTCGTACAAAAACAAACTGTATACATACGATCACAAGTGTTCAATCGATCATGTACCGATGACGAGCACGAGTACATTAGAACATTGTGACTGTCTCATAACGATAAATAAACGGAGACTGACGGAGACTCGTGCGAATCTACGAATCAACTACTATTAAATGGGTATACAAATATCTGTGACACTACTGACACTGTGCAGCAGAAAAATCTCAGGGGCGGAAACAGTCCCCTCATCATCCTCACTCGTTCTGCTTGAACACAGATGATGACATGCGAATTACGTATAGAGAACGATTCCAACTTGGTCTAACTTCTAACTGTCGAACATTTTATTTACATAAGAGTAAATTATGGAGTAGATACGGTCATAGATACGGTTTATTCTACGACTGTGGATGAATCGGAACATCTTAAACGTTAAATAAAACATATGTAACACCACCCAATCCGAATTTTCATCGCACAGGTATGTTCTTATAGTAAACAGTGGCCACGCGAAACATCTATAAGTGTGTACGTGTAGAAATTGAATGGAACTTTAATTTAGGTTTACTATGCAAATTCGAATAAAAAAATATTTTGCGAATGCGCGTGATCAAATTTATAATGTAATTACATTACATTTATAACTGGAATTCGTTTCCACTAATTTTCTAACATGAGAATCTAGGAAGGGGTCTGGTTTTACTCAGAATTGGTTTAGCCTGTACACTCTGTTATGTTCACTTTATGATTCACTTCAAATACTTATACAGTTGAATATTAACTATTTTTATATGGCAATTTAAATTTGAATGTTTAAGATAAAATGGCATCGAGATTTAGTGGGGCACTGCAAATCACAAATTTGGATGACTTCATTACTCCTTCTCAGGTACATATCATTAGTGTCTCACACTATTTACAGAATTTTATAAATTTATTATTTTGTATCAGGAATGTATCAAACCTATAGAAATTAAAGCGTCGAACAGTAAAACTGGTACAAAGATTAAGATTGAAGAAGATGGAACACCTTCAGCATTAGCTCAGGTGAATTATTAATTGTACATTTAATAAGAATCAAATTTGCGTTACGGAAATATTTTCCTCTTACCAGAGTGGACAATATGAAAAATTACAAAAAGTTGAGATCACACTTGCCGATTGTCTGGCCTGCAGTGGTTGCATTACGTCTGCAGAGAGTGTACTGGTAACGCAGCAGAGTCAAGAAGAACTGATGCGTGTGTTTAGAGAAAAGATGTCTCAGTGTCAGGTATATTAGAGATAATATTCTTTTCTATCTTAATCATCAGAAAATTATTCTATTCTCTCTCTATTTATTTTATAGAACGAGGCTGGAACTTGTTCAACGTTCATTGTAGTTAGTCTTTCCATACAAGCAGTATTATCTATAGCTGAACGTTACAATCTCAGGCCAGATCAGGCACAAGAGAAACTCGCGGCATATTTTTATCAATTAGGAGCAGATGCAGTCTTGGATATGACGGTGGCCGATGATTTTGCCCTGTTGGAATCTGCGAAAGAATTTGTCGAACGGTACAAAGCAGCCAAAGGGGGTGCAAAGAATCAATTGCCCATGTTGTCTTCTTCTTGCCCAGGTAATTCGATCTAAAAACTAAATATCACCGATTGCTTTTAATGTTCGCGTATAATTCGTTAAATACAGGCTGGGTCTGTTACGCCGAGAAAACGCATGGCAGTTTTATACTTCCATATATAAGCGTCACAAAATCTCCCCAACAAATTATGGGTTCGTTGGTCAAATATCATTTAACTGAAAGTATGGGCCTCTCGCCGGAACAAGTTTATCACGTAACCCTCATGCCTTGTTACGATAAAAAGCTAGAAGCGTCCAGAGAAGATTTTTATAATCGCGAAAAACAATCGAGAGACGTGGATTGTGTTATTACTCCGAGTACGTATTTCAAGCTTTGTGTTCAAATACCGTCTACCGGTTTTATTTATTAAGTGTATTCTTCCAGTTGAACTGGAACAAATGTTTAATGAGTCGAACGTAGTACTAAATGAAATAAATCTGACGGAAGTTCGAAGACCGCCAGCAATACAGATTGAAGACATGAACAATTTACATTTATACGGACACAGTGGCTCAGGGTCCGGTGGTTACGCTGATTTTATTCTTCGTTACGCGGCGAGACACTTGTTCGACGAAACGGACGTGGTAGTCGAGTTTAAAAATCTCCGAAATCCTGACTTCCAAGAAGCAGTCTTTCGGAAAGACGATCAGACACTCTTAACGTTCGCGATTGCCAATGGATTTAGAAATATACAAAACCTCGTACAGAAATTAAAACGAGGAAAGTGTCCGTACGATTACGTGGAAGTCATGGCGTGTCCCTGTGGTAAGTTTCGTGAAACTAATATATATATTTATTAAACCGGGTCGGAACTTCATTTTTCTAACAATTCGTTAGGTTGTCTTAACGGGGGAGCGCAAATTAGACCTTCGAATAATGTACAACCACGGGAATTGGCAATGAAATTATACTCTACACACCAAGAGCTTCCTCGAAGTAATCCCGTACAAAATCCTGTCGTACACAGTTTGTACAAGAATTGGTTGGGAGGAGAACACACGGACAAAGCTTTAGCGTACTTTCACACACAATATCACGAGATAAAAAAGGCAGACACGGCTTTAGCTATAAAGTGGTAACTGAAAAAGGTATCTTATTTAATTGTATATAATACATAGTAATTTAAAGTTGAGGGAGATATTTGTAAATGATGTTTGTACTTGGCTGTGCGTAGATAATATGCAAGTCAGTCGAGGTATAAAGTGATCGTTGCTATTTTAACAACAAATTTATTACGTATACCTATTTGACAAAACTGGAACATGTAGTGTAACGAACATAAAATTATGTCTCTCTTTATAAAATAATAGCCTTACAACTAAGTTTCATGAATCGTGATATTAAAAATGTGCAGCAAATGTAAAAAGTTACACAGATCGTACACATACCACAATAACGCTTTATCGCATATATGTATATTGCAATGTATTTGTTGAAAGTACAAAAGATTGTCTTTTATAGCTGCTCACGCTAGATAATCGAATAATCTAGTATGACTAGTAACAAATATTAAGAAACAACAAAGACTTCCAGGAGAAACATCAGTTTAGTCTCTAAACAGTGCAATAGCATTTTGTACACATCGTAATTCTATTTTGTAGTTTGTTTTATTCGCCTGCAGAGCAATAATTTAGCTATACGCATTTAATAAGAAAATAATATATTTTATAAAACGATCTCTTAACATATAATTACTCTTAATAATACTGAGAAAATAATATAGTTAACTTGGTACGAACAGAAATAAAATTCGTTCAAACTAGTTATGTCGCAAACGTTAAACAACGATTTCGTGAAAAATCTATAGTCAGACAGTGATCAACAACATATATTATGCATTCATCGTCTAGATGTTACAATTATATTATTTTTTCTTGTGCAAGATGATAGTTCATATGCTCAACATTTATAATCTTTCGCCTTCTCGTTCTCTTTCAATTCCCCAAACTTCCGACTATATTGTCACCTTATTTTAAAATTTATTTTGGCCTGAAGCATCGAATACATAGCTTTAAAAAAAAACCTTAATTACCTAGAATTCTTGTTGTCTAATGATTTCTCGTTTTCGTTCATTTCCGTGGACTCTTCCTTTTTCAAGTTCGTTTCTACGTAACTATCTTCAATGTAAGTGATACTGTTGTGGTCCTTGGTTATCCCTTCATTATTCGAATACGTGTTTATCAACCATCCTTGGTTACTATCTATTTCTCTGGATACGACAAGGAACAATTCTTTCTCTTTACTGTCTATCTGATCCTTCAAGTATGCAAGTAAATCGTTTTCCTGAAATAATGTATCAAGATCTTGACTATAGTTTTGGCTTCATTATACGTATAAACATGAGAAAGACTCGTTGAAAATGCTTGAGCAACCTTTCCAATAAGTTGAGGAGAATCAAGCTTCGAATCGAGATTATAAAAGGCACCATGAATCTTCTTCAGGGCAATCCAGTGTCTCCTCTTCAAAGGAAGTAATACAAATCCTAATTTATATTCGGTTGGTACATTTAATATAAAGCCTTCGATGTTATCTAAACACAGACATTTCGGGTCTCTGGAAATTTGACGGATGCATCTATGAATATCATAGAGTTTCGTAATCATCCATAAGTGTATCATTGAACAAACCTGCGTTTGTCAAACCAAACTGCTTCGCGGCCTTTTCGTTGTAATGCTGCCATAATAACATTGATATCGTAATTACCGAGCCCTAACAATGATTTATGTGGATTGATCCACACATCTGGACTCAAGCTATAACAAATTTGATCTAATTCCTGTTTATTAAATCCGCGCTCTTGAAATAGATTGTTTAACGCGTGCAACGCACAGAGCTCTTTCACCTGTGACCGATACATATATAGGAATTAATAGATCGTTCAAGTGTGAATTACAATAATAGTGTAAATTTTTATAATTACTTGTCTCTCATGGTATATGGGCCCAGTCATTTCTGCCGTGCTCGCAACCATCCTATCTACATAATTTTCCGTATCGTATTGACAATTTTGTTGAACAATTGTTAGTTGAACCTCCTGTCGCGAGATCTTTCACAGATATGAAATCGAATAAATTTCACTGCGAGGTTTGTAACCTGAACTACACACGTAGCAGTAACACGGAGTATAGCTCGTTTTATTTATTCACCACGGTAGACGGACTCACACGAAGCGATCAAATAATTGTTTATTCACACTTTGACAGAGAACGACTGCTGTCAGTTGTCACTTCATATAATTCAATCTCACAACACTGCGACCTGAAGACAAGTTTGAGTGCGTTCATACACGTCAAAATTTATACTTCTTCCGTCTTCCGACGAATATCAATAGATGTTAGGTATATGATGCATTTACGTTCATTCATAATATACGTAACTGCTAACTACGCTTTATCGGGTCCCATGATCGGGTCGGATACCTTGATAGCTCGTTTACAATTACACGTTTTTTTCTTATTGGCAAGTGTGAGCAGAGAGAAACTTTGGTTGGTGAGTATGCGCGAGATATTTTATGCGTGTATGTATGAACCGCAATCTTACCGCGATATTATGTCACTTGTTTGCTGTGAATTTATTATCCGATACTTAATATCTACATATGTATATCCGTATATGCAGATCACTGCATCTAAATCCGTTCTAAAATCAGTATTTCTGGATTTTCACTGTTAAAATTCATCCTTAAATTTTGATTTTATTATTATTATTACATTATACTGGATTTCGTGAATATAATAATGAAAATTCAGCCTAGAAGAGGATCCAGGAATCGCGGTTTCTGATTCGAAAATAGTCGGAGGATTCTTTAATTTCATCACCGAGGAAATCGCCTCGGTGACTATGTGGTTTCATCGTTAGATGGCCCAACAGATTCAGTTATGACATGTTTAATAACAAACGAGTTTGTATAAAACTGTAAAGTGGAATCGGTTTGAATTCCAAATGGAAATCGAATACAAGCTCCTAAGAGAGCTTGATTGCAAACAAGGAGCTGTCAGGGCAGTACGATTCAGCGGTGTGTAAAAGTATTACTTTACAGGGGTGGCTTTCATTCGTGCATCATGTTCTAACCTCGTTTCTAGTTGACGGTGCTTATTGTTTAACTTGCGGCTCCGATAGAAAATTAAAATTATGGAATCCTCACAGAGGTGTAACTCTGAAAACATACGGGGGACACGGGGACGAAGTTATGGATGCTTGTGCATCCTGTGATAGTAGTCAAATAATATCTTGTGGGTTAGACAAATCTGTCATCCTCTGGGATGTAGCCACTGGGACCCCAGTTCGTCGTTTAAGGGGTCATGCTGGTCCTGTAAATGCTGTGAGGTACATTTCGAGCTTCTCTTGTTTCTGTTCAAAACCAGCCTGACACCCTATTCTTTCGTTTATTAAATCGAACTAAGCATTGTAATAACACAATGATTAAAAGAATACCCAAACTCTTCTTCCTGCTTCTGAGATAATTACATATAAAAGTATATTTATTTTGAACGATAGATTCAACGAAGAATCTTCTATGGTTGTCTCCGGGTCCAGAGATAATTCGGTGATGTTATGGGATGTTCGTTCCAAAGCAGTAGAGCCAGCACAGTGTTTAGGGGAAGCTAAAGATTCGATTTCTAGTGTTAGAGTGACGGATCACGAGATTTTAACAGCTTCGTTTGATGGAAAAATACGTAGGTACGATATTCGCGTGGGTCAGATGTATGCAGATTTCATGGGAGGTCAGTTAATAATGAAAACGAAACGTACTCGCGAGATATGATAGGAACGACGACTATGGATTAATCTATTACAGATGCAGTGACGTGTGCTAGTTTTACAAAGGATGGTCAATGCGTAGTAGTTAGTTGTGCGGACGGTGTGATTAGATTAATGGATAAAGACTCTGGAGAATTGCTAGGAGAGTTTACAGGTCATGTAGCGAACAATTTATGTTTGGAATCGAGCGTCGACAACCAGGACACTCGCATTCTTTCTGGTTCCGCGGATGGAAAGCTGTGGATATGGGATCTAGTCTCGCAGAAAGTAGTTGCCAAACTCTCAGGATTTAAGCCTACGAAACACCCCGTAGTATCGTTGAGCGTCCATCCGCAAACAAATTGTTTCTTAGCTACTAATGGCCCAAGCGTATTAATGTGGAGTACCTTAACAACGAAAGAATAACATACACTATTACTCGCTTGTTCTCTTTCATTTGTATCGTAATGCACATGCAATTTTTCACACAACAAACGATACATTATTTGTATATTACGAAAATAGATAAGACATAGATTAGGTCAAGTGGAACCTCCTTGTTAATCACAATGTACAAAATATAAATAAATTTTCGTACGAGCATGCAAGTTTGGAGTTTTTATAACACGACTATTTGCTTGTCACAAATATAGAATGTGGACAAAATTAGATTATGAATGTAAAATTTAAAGAGACGGGCTGCTGCTGTTGCGAGTACTAGGTATGCGCAGGTACCTAACGTAACTTTAGCTAGTGCAAGTTTAGCATAAAAGAGAATAGGCGAGAGTGAGAGAAACGGAGAAGAGAGAAGCGAGAGGGAGGTCTTGCGCGCGCAGGTGGCGCGATACCGGTGCGTCAGAGTCAGAAGCCTGGACACGAAAAAGACGGTGCCGAAAGTGGAAGCGAGAGAGGAAGACACTTCGAGGGACACCGGAGGTGCTTGCACACGGGGCGGGCCTGCCAGTCTCAACCACTTCGTGGAGTGCACTTTTTATTCTGTACCACTGTACTCGAGCACGCGAGCCACTCTCAATTGTTGGCTGTTTGCGCGTACGGTACCCGTGTACAATCGAGGACTCGTCCGATGCGGAGCGCGAACCGCGTGGTCTTCCTGTCAGACTGATCGCGTCGATCGGCACCGTCGAGATCGCGAGTGAACAATTGTTGTTGTTGTTGTTGATCGATCGATCCTGCCCGGCTTGCCGGCTGTCAGATATTCGGATCTTGACAGAGAAACGCTTAACAGAACGAAACGGAATCGAGCGTATTCGCGGTGTCAGTGGCTGTGTCCAGGCGGAAAACACGAAAGGAACAGGCGGCGGTGTGTTCGAACGAAAGAGGGTTGTTATGGGGCGAACCTGTCGTCTGCTGTTACTATCGCCGCTGTGTCTGCTGCTCGTGCTCGGCTCTCTTGCCGCAGCTGATGCTTTCTCCACTGACAGTAAGTATGCATTTCTCTTTTATACGACGGCCGGGCAAATGATTTTAATCGGGGAACGCGTCGTCATTGAACATCGATGAGAATTGATGAAACGCGTATGGGACACGACGTGCGCTTATGTCACTTACATAATCGCTTGTACGAGTGCATATTTATGTACATTTTTAACAAGAACTTCGTATAAAATCGGACGATGTAGGACGCGGGAAAGGTGGACGACGTTCAGAGCAAAAGGTACATATAGCATTCGTTTTCTGACATTCGAGCTCGATACGTACGTATCTATGTGATCTCTGCAAGGGGGATGCTGGGGATGCTGGTGGTGTGAAAGTGCGTTGGTCTAAAATGGGGGAAACCGCGATAGATGGAAGCACGTGAAGATCTTAGCAGACAGCACTTCTATTTAACGCTTAGAATTTCTCTTTTTTATTTTTCTCGACGCTTTCTTCGTTCCACGTTACTATAAACGTTTAAACGTTTGTATTCGTGCTTCACATCGTTTCGTGTCCCTCTCGCGCTCGATGCATGCTTCAATGTTTCATCTCCTAAATCGTCATTTATTTCTGTTTTTATATATTTTCATTCACGCTTCAATTCCAAGTACATTCACTTTCATCAGTCCTATCACTTTTAATGTAATGATAAACGATTTATTTCCTTTGTGCTACTTTTCAAATGCAGAGCATTAAAATTTATTGCCTTTGAAACAATGTGATACATATAATGGTTAATGAAATCTTAATTATGCTTTATATGTCTCATGTGAAACATTCAATCTATAGTAATTTGATGTTAAATAATTAAATTTGATAACAATATCAGAGAAAATTAATCTCTTCATAATTGCCATTTAATACCTAATTAGCATTAATTTGAAATGAAAATTAGTTGATACTAATTGAACAATTATAACGGTGACGTTCCTCGCTCTACGCGACGTAACAGAGTTTCCAAGATCTCAAAACAACGTAAACTAGTTTAAGCATACCAAATTTGATGTGTTAGTATGAAAAATGTTTCTGAAAGCAGGAGATGAAAGAGAACGTCTTGAAAATGAAAAATACACATGTTAAAGTATACAACGTTACGGTATATTGCGTATAATCTCGTTAAAGGTGAATGGAATTATCGATCACATTTTATTTTGTAATCTGACCACGCATTTTCATTGACCTTTTAAATACTTTGCTTTATCCTTTAAAGTGGCGAGTCACGTACCTGCATACGTACATACGAGGTGCTACCGATGCGAACGATATTCAAATCGACTTGAAACTTAATTTAACGTTTCTTGCGGCTAAGTACTATTAGAACGAGACAAATTGGTTGCGAAAGTGTTTGAATATTTCAGACACTTCGATGTCATCGAGCAACAGACTTATGAACACTGATGTGCTAATAAAATTAATCTTCTGTTAGATGTTAATAATGAGGAACGATATTGAATTACAGTCGGCGTCGTATTTTTCATTTCACTTTGTACGCTTCTTTAATCCAAACAAGTGGAAAAAAGCGTGGATGCTCTCGATCCGGCGAATGCAAACCGTGGCATTTCATCATTTTTATTACCCGCCGTGATTTTCATCATTTTTATTACTCTCTCGTTTGGAAGTTTTTCTTTTATTCGTTTTAACTACGAAACAATTGCTTTAGCGATTACCATCGTAGCGCAGCAATGATATTTGGTGTCCTCTCGGTCTAATTTTCGTTATACAAAGCATTCTCAGCTTTCGGTGCATATCGCGGCACTTGCGTTTTCAAGTGTGACACACTACCACCGCTTGAGGAAAGGAATTTTAGAAAACAGTGATCAAAGTCGCGTTCGCAATTCTCGTACACTTTGACCGTTCAGTATCTCAGTCGAAACTCGGTGTTACGCGTATTATATGATTTTTCCATCCTTAAAAAGTCAATAGATTCAAAGAAATTCAATGCGTTTTGCATTACAAATATTAATGAATTCACAGTCACACGCCACACAGTCAAAATCTTTTTTAGATCACGAGTTTCGTCTATGTATAATTCATATTGCATTTATACACCACTCTTTTCATCCACTTTGACCGTGTACGATATGCGCGAGGCAAAAGGCAAAAACGTACGATGGGAATCATGAAAACTGATCGTATCTTTCATGTTGGCACGTTAAGTTATCAATAAGGTAAAGGGAGACGCGCTATACGATAATGTAGATAAGATTATTTTCTGCGCGAACGTTATTGAAATCGCGTTTCAAATGTTGCAGAATATTTTATAAAAGAAAATCGGAATCAATTTCTGAACTCGCATTCAAGATTAATTGCGACGCATGCAGGTACAATTATGGACGTACATGTAAATGAATGCGCGCACGTGCAATGGGATTGTAATTATAAAAAATTAAATGTTTTCATGCTTCGGTCGGGGAACAAACTATTTTTCGTTTCACACAAATTCGGTTTTCAATGCGCGCACCCATACGCCCTCGACTCTCATTGTGTGTACTGCGAAAACGCAATGTGCACATATGCGAATGTGAAATTGTAATAAACGTGACGTCAATATCGTTCCTGGTTGATGAAGTACGAACGTCACGACACGGCAGCGTTTCTAATCTCCCCCTTTTCTTTTTCGCGCCCGTCTCTCATATTCTTTTCGTCCCGTTTTCCCGCACCTCGTCCCTCGTTTTTCTGCCGCCGTGCCAGTGTGCTGGTGCTATTTCATTTTCCTTCCCTTTTATTTTGCTTCAGGCAACCCTTGTTCTTTAAGGCAATTTCAATGTGCGAACGGTAAATGTATACCGCTCTTGTGGGTCTGCGATTCAATGGATGACTGCGGTGACAAATCCGACGAAGACAGCGAGAAATGTAAAGGTGAGCGATGAGACGGATACTCAAATATACGAGTACAGTCCGTAAAAAAAGTCATCATCATCATGGTCATTGTCATTATCATCATCCCTCAGAAAACAGGCATTTTCAAACGAATGAAATTAAAATCATTTTTCACGAGGGAACTCTTCTCCTTCTAAATGATGCCCTTGTCATGTATCTCACAAATGTTCCCTCGGGAAAGAATGACCCTGGCCAAATTTGTATTCGGTGGAGAAAAAAAAACAGTAGGATAAATTGTCTCGTCACGTGGAAAGAATTGCCGGCTGTAGAAATAGAAAATTGCTCCATTACTTATCATTCTCCACGCACTTGTAAAATCCGGATTTTGCAAGGTAATGTATGGAGACTTTTTCGACCGACTGTATATCGAACGCTTTGTACGTTCTGCTAGAATACGTAAGAATAATACAACAGTTTTCACGAGGGAAATAAAAATAAGAGTATCGTGTTCATATTTTATTGTACGTGAAATACTGTGCTATAAATAATGGAACCCTTTCGATTAACCGTATCGTTTGATCTTCGTTCCCATCGACAGAGTTGTTCATTTTATTTCATATGATAATCTCGAGTCTATTCATTACAGTTTCAAATAATTCATTCATCGTTTTATATCAAAGGACGAGTACTGTACGTATTCGCGATCGATGGAACGTGTGTACTATGTATAGGTAGTTTGCCACTAAACGCGGAGCCCAAAATTGATCTGAAACTCAATTGTTTCTTTATATCGTAAATCGTTTGATCGAGAGCATGTACGATGAAATGTGTTCGAAATGTAATTTTCCAGCGACGCGTCGATCGATACGAAAACATATTTTGCAATTTCCAGCTACACGAATCTGTCCTCCTTTTTCAGCATCAAATTTAATCCAGTAATTTCCGATCATATGAATTCTACGACGAGGTTTAATAAACATTTTTTTATCTACGACGATGTTTTGAATTTTCCGCGGTGATCCTAAGGAGTGTCAATAATTGAATAGTTAACCAGCCGTGCACCGAGTCGTAACAGAGTAGATGCACACGTGCTTGTTTAACAAACAATTTAATTGACAAGCAAGAAGCGATGTTTACACCGATGATACGTCGCGTCGTCATCGTTACGAATGACCACGTAACTCGAAACTGTATTTAAAGCACGTTAAATATAGTCACTCCTTGGCCGTAAAGCACGAGACTCTGGCCAGGGATTAATTATCCGAGGTTGTTTACCTGTTAACTGTTAATATGTATAACATGCACTCGCTGTCCACGTATTGCGATTTAATTTGGTTTTCGATAACCCGGAAAC